CGAGGCCTAGCCGCGCCCCAAAACGTTGGGGCCGGGGGAGGAGGGGGAGGGGAGGAGAGGCAATGAGAGAGAAAACCTACACTGCCTGCCCGAGGTCGCCCCATCTGCCCCTGCCCTCCCGCGACTGAAGGGTTAGTGTTGCTATAGATAGGTAGTCTCAGCAGTTCACGCGGTTAAAACTGGAAAGGTCGGTTAAGACAGAGCTAATAACAGCTTAATAACAGAGCATATTAAGGAGTCTAGCGCCCAGTAACGTCAGTGTCTTTGAAGCGTCCCTGCGTTGTGCTTCCTTATGTTTTTGGCATGCGGGTTGTTGCCCACGTTACTCCCAACTCAGTCTTGTTGCTCCAGCGTTGAAAGCCGAGGAACGAGTAGCAGCAACAGTAAAGGCTGCAGCCTTCAAGTAACGAATAGCTGTTCTCTGTCCCAGCAGTTGAATCTGCCGCGTGTCACACGGCCTGCAAAAAGCACCTCGCACCAGATCACAGAAAAGCCTGGGAAACTTGCGGCCTTTTCCTTTCCCCTCTTCCTCAAGGCAATTTCTGTGACCGGCCTCCCCAGACATTTGGGACTGACTCCAAGGAAGTTATTAGAGACCCTTCCCTGTCAACTCATCAGGGAAGTGTTGGGGCCGATGACTACCTTCACTTGCACAGCGTCATGCTTTGGTGGGCTGTGTTTTGTTAAAGCAGCCAGTTTGATCCAATCAGAAATCTAGTTTCTGTTACATATGTCCACAAATAAGATAGTTTATCTCACAGTGTCATTAAACACATAATTAATGACACTGTGAGATAATTACGTGCTTATTTCACATACTGGACCTCCCTAACCTGGTTTTGTTATTCTGCTTGGTCTTGTTTCATACATGCACACCTTTAAAAAGTTAATTTTCTTTCCTGCGCCTATGCACCTCAACCCCCCAAAAGAAGCAGCTTCTGTCTAAATGAGGACACATTTGTCAATAAAGCTTTAGAAACTTTGCCGATTGCTTTACAGGCCCAGAAGAGGAAGGTACAACGTGCGATCCTTAACACGCCAGTCTCCCCAGTGAGGAGATTATATTAGAGTCTCTCTCCAGCAGGAGATTAACTCTCCCGGCAAGGTAGGCACTGACGTCACCCTCAGCCTCCAGCCGGCAATCTGCCCCCGACCCCAGCATCACCAGCACCAGCAGAGCAGCACCAACCGCTCGCAGCCCGGAGGACAGCTGGCCTTGCCGAGCCCTGACTAAGACAGGAAACCAACTCAGAAATGCTACATGGGAATCATGCAGAAATCTGGGCACACAAGTGCTGTAACGAATAAATGTGTGTATAAGTCAGGGGAAAAGCTTTTCTGCTGGTAATCCAGAGCAGCTACATGGTAGAATTATTGTTTAAAATAAGGGCTGCAGCTCTGCAGAAACTAGACTACATTGCTTAAGTATTAATATTCCCATCAGTCACATTAGTAAAAAAAAACCTTTCCTCATATTAAGAGAAATTTTTTCCTAGTAACCAAGCCGGTTGACATTTAAAAAGAAAAAAACCACAAACTTTTTCCCTAAGTAACCTGTTAAATATTCAATCTAGCTTCTTTCATGATGCAAAATTTTGAAACATTTTAAGTAGAGAATATTTTTTTCTTATCACACATTCATGTCTACCATTCCAAAAAGCTCACAACTCTGATAATCCATCTGACAACACAGTCAATCAAAAATCCATCCTACAGCCGTTTCCAAAGAAACGAACACGTAGCCAGGAAGACAGAATGCTTAAGCTGGAAGGGAACCAACCAAAGGAACACAACAACAGCAACAACAAAACTCCAAGCATTTTCCCTTTTCCTTTAAATTTCCTGGTTTGGGAGTATATTACAGGGACACAGATAATGGTAAATGCAGTTATGTTAAAAGTGGTGGTGGTGGTTTATTTTATTTTTTATTTTTTTTAAATCCAGGAAGCTGGAGGCTTTTCTGCTCTTCCTACACACAGACACACAAAAAAAAAAAGAACTTTTTTTTAAAAAAAAAAAAGTCTGTAAGAAAGACAGACACAATCACAGAACTAAAAAAACACATCTGAAACATCGTTGCTCACACCTCCTCCTCATTCTTTGGCTATCTGTCTCCTGCTTAGGCCTCTATCTCGTGTGGAGTTTTAGGTGGGTGGACACAATGGGCTTATTCACAAACATCAAGCTCAGCACATGCCTAAGGCTTTGAAGGTTGAAGACCATGGCTGGTCAGCTCCTTGGGACTGGGACTCATGGGATTCTTCAGGAGGCTCACACACACAGTGAAGTTCAGTGGGAGCTGGTTACCTTCCTGCTTTGATCTCCTGAGAAACCCATTCCTTGTCTCTGAAGTACCTAGGGCACTTCTGAAACAGCTGAAACTATGCTGA